AATCCCATTTTTTTTATTAGTGTAGATCATTTTTGTAATATAGTTAGTAGACTGGAACGGGACGTTCCAAAATTGGAACGGATCGTTCCAAACTACTAAAACAAGGGTGATTTAGTAGCCCAGAAGGGTCGTTCCCAAACTGGAATGGGCCGTTTTGAACTACTAAATAGGCCTATAAATCCTTGTTGGGAACGGGCTGTTCCAAACAGGGTCGTTGTGAGTAAAAGGCAACGCAGAACGAGCCATTCTAGTTTGAGAACGGGTCGTTCTAGTTTGAGCCTTTGTATGGAAGGAGGTGTAGGACTCCATTATGTTGGTATCAGGAGGGTGAGTCAGTAGTGGTTGGTCCAGAGTTAGTTCTTCAGACTACTGACATGGTGAGACAGATTCAAGAGAAGTTGAGGGCTACCTAGAGTCGACAAAAGTCCTATGCTGATAGGAGGAGGAGACCTCTAGAGTTTGAGAAGAGAGAGCACGTGTTTCTTAGGGTGACACCCACTACTGGTGTGGGAAGGGCAGTAAGGGCTAAGAAGCTCACTCCGAGGTTCATTGGTCCTTACCAGATCCTTCGTCGTGTACGTTGCCTCCGGTTTTGTCTAACCTACATGATGTGTTTCACGTTTCACAGTTGAGGAAGTACATCAGAGACCCGAGTCATGTGGTAGAGATGGATGAGGTGCAAGTTAGAGAGAACTTGACCTATGAGAAGAGATCGGTAGCTGTGGCTAATCACAAGTTGAAGGAGCTTAGGGGCAAATCCATCAGCTTGGTGAAAGTTCTCTAGGATACAACTACTGGTGAGGTGACCAGGGAGGTGGAGAGTCAGTTCAAGGAATGGTATCCACTTCTCTTCTCAGGTAAGCCTATTTTCGGGGATGAAAATTCCTATTTGTTTGGAGGTATTGTAACGTAGTTAGTAGATTGGAACGGGGCGTTCCAAAATTGGAACAGGTCGTTCCAAACTACTAAAACAAAGGTGATTCAGTAGCCTAGAACGGGCCGTTCCCAAACTGGAACGGGCCATTTCGAACTACTAAATAGGCCTATAAATCCTTGTTGGGAATGGGCCGTTCCAAACAGGGTCATTGTGAGTAAAAGGCAACCCTAGAACGAACCGTTCTGGTTTGAGAACGGGTTGTTCTGCATGTGAATTTTACACATGACGTTTGAGTCTAGAACGGGCCGTTCCAGATTCGAAACGGACCGTTATGGCCACTCTAGATTTCTATAAATAGGCCACATGAGGAGAAAGAAGGGGAACTTAGAGAGAGGTTTTAGAGAGAAGGACTCTAGACTAGGAACCTTGCTTTGGGTGGATTGAAGTTTTCAGGTTGAGCTTCGAAAGGAAATTCTATTTCTTCTCAGTTCTTGGCCATTTTGAGCCAATTTTCAGCTGAGAGAAGCTAGAAAGTTTATCGTTTAGTTGCATGTGAGTTTAGTGAATTGATGCATGAAAGTCGAGGATCCATGGCTAGATTGGAGAATTCGCTCATTTTTCGGGGTTTTGGGAAAAGTGGGGTTTTTGGTGATTTTGATGCATCGGATGGGTGCATGTTGATTTTGAGTTTGTTTTTGTGTTGTATGGAGCCTATGCATTGTGTTTTTGTGTTTGCATATGGCTGAAATTGCTGGTTTGGATGAGTTTTTGAACTCTCTGACTAGGATTAGGCCAGCCGCAAGTTGAGGGCGCCGGGCGTGGAAGAGCTTAAGGCTGTCGAGTTAGATGTTAGGCAGCGCATGATTTGGTTGCACTGGGCGTGAGTGGGTTTGATGTTTTTGGATTGAAATTAATGCTCATGCATGTTTAAAGTTGAAGTTTTAGATCATGTATGTATGATATATGATGTATGGTGAGGTGTGATTCATATGTATGCTTGGTAATGATATATATGAATTAATGTTTAAATATGATATGGCATGAGTATATGTTCATATGTGTATGATTGTTGATCATGATGGTGGGCAGATTATGTATGATGTATGATGAATAATTGCATGTGATGTCTTATGGCACGAGTCTAGCCTAGGACTTGAGGAGAGGGAAAATATTTTTGAACTAGAAGAGCTCACATAGAGTCTCTTGAGAGTGGTGCTTGGATAGACCACTGATATATGAGAGTGGTGCTCAGGTAGGCCACTAGGTTGGGTGAGTCTCCTCTAAGTCCTTAGCTAGCATTGGAGCGGAGTATGAGGTCGAGGGTTATTCCCTTAACCAAGTACTTGGGAAGGAGGTGCGTGGATCCTTACAGATAGTCGGCGGGCGAACTCCACAAGTGAATTGGTAATGCATGCCAAGGTCGTGTTAAGGCTGTACCTAGCTATGTTATACCTAACGGTGGATCTAGACTTCCAATTGTGTAAGTGATATCATCCGAGTAAACCCGAGTGAGGATTTTTATCCTGTTTAGCTGTGACCGAGCGAGCGCATTGGGCATGAAAACGGTTGGGGTGGTTTCGATAGGATTGGGATGTCACTTACATTGCTCTACTGTTAGGGAGATCTCCTAGGTGTATGCGTGCCGACGCATTAGATGATTGATATGCATTGATATCTTTCATGAGTTGCATGTATTGCATGATTGTTATGATGATGAAGTGTATGGTGTTTGACTTCATGTTTGATGAATGGATGATTGATTGAGATGGAAGTTCCTTTAGGACTTGATTTGGATGCATGTGTAGTATATATTTTATTATGTACTTGTATAATTGATTTTTTGAACTCTAGCTTACCCTTCTATTTCCATGTGGTGGGACTGCGATGATCATACTTGGTATGGGAGCAGGTCAGGGATAACTTGGAGTTGAGGTGACTGCTGCGAGACGAGAAGTTTGATCCTCTTGTTAGAGTTACCATTTTTGGTAACGGTTTTGTCTGTACTTGACCGGCACTAGAAAATATTATTTTTAGGATGACTGCACATATATGGTGTTCTATTTTGTATACAAAAACTTATTTTTATTCTTGTCTATACTTGTATGCATGAGTTATCCAGCTTAATATTTCTCTTAATTTACTAGTAGTAGTGCGATTCTACTAAGTGTAGAGATCATGGTGAGTCGTTACAATTTTTCTCAAACTTTGATGCCAAAATGGAGTTTTTTTTTTCACATCAACATGTTTCGTTTCAACACCTAATGATAGTAATTAAACATGACGAAAAGAAACATTTTGGTCCACTTTTAAAACTTAAAGGACTAGATTAAAAATTTGAAAAAAAATAAGGAATCAAATTGGATCTGAAGAAAAAATTCAAATGTATAATTTACTGGTATATTTACTATAAATTTAAAATATTTATAAATTTTAATATAATAATACAATAAAATGTATTTATCTTATTAAAATATTAATTTATAAGATTAGAAGAACAAATTATAAACTATCAAATATTACTAATAACAAAAATCTAAAGCATTTATCATGAGAATTTTTAGCACACACGAAAATCGTAAAATCCCATATTTTTAAAATCATAATATGGGCAAATTGTTCACTTTCAATTTTTTTTTGACAGGAACATCACTTTCAACTTGTTATTCAATTTTAATAAAATTTAACATAAAAATATAATATAATATAAAATTATAATCCAACGATTAGATGAACAAAATTCATTTGTAATATAAAGTTATTAATGAAATAATTTTTACAACTATTGCACTAAAATTCATTATTAAATTGAAACTTTTTTCACTTAGATCATGTATACATTTTATATTAATACAAAATAAATAGATACCTCATTTATATAAATTAAAATTAACGTAATATATACTTTAAAAAAATATACTAAAAAATAAATAATTTGATTACATTCTTATTATTTTTTATTTTTAACAAAATTTAGCATATGTATTCAAGGTAATACAAAATTTTAATTTAACTATGAATTTTGAAAAAACATTATTAAATTCAAAATTATTGATTGGTATAACAGATGTAAAAGTGATATATTCAAATATAATAGTTATTTATATAAGTAATTTTTTTTGTTGTAAATTTTTGTTATTTATAATAAAGATTTAACTTATGAAACAAATACTAATAAAGATATAAAAAATTTAAAAATAACATACAAAATTTTTTTTAATATAATTTTTTAAAAATATTATATTAATAAATGTCACATCACTTAAGTATAAATAAACATTAAAATTTAATGATTAATATATGTCAATTTGATAAAAGAATTAAAATTCTATATTTTTAAAATCGAAAAAACTAAATGTCTCTATTTTAAAATAGAAAAACAAAATTATAAACAGATAAAAATAGATAAACTGAAAGGTCAGTTTAACTAATTATTTATCATAAATTTATAATACAATTCATATATTCAAACATAGTATTTATTTATACATATAATTTATTTTAAATTTTAGTTATATAATAAACATTTAACTTATGTATGATACATGATAAAATATCAATATATATATATATATAT